GACAGGAACAGCGGTTGATGCTAGGGCTATATCACCTGATTCGATTGCGCTATGAGAACGTACGATACTGGCTGGTTTTGAGGCTGGAGCAACCAGAGGCGAGTTGTCCGCCTGACGATTTGTAGATCCTACCGAACCCAAGCCAAGTCCAGCCCGTGATTGGCCTGAGGTTCGACCAGTATGTAGGATGAGTGCTCGCAAACCACCATCTATGCAGTGATCAAGTTTAATGAAGGCGCTTTCGTTAAAGATGAGCAAGCTTTTCGAAACTACAATGGACCAGTCGTTCCAGAAGTAAAAGCGAGAGAAGAGAGAGGCCTCGTCAGTCAAGGACATCGAAAGAATATTCTTGAAGGGGATAATAATGTAAACAAATGGTTATAAATTACCATACGTACATGAACATCGTAATGAAACATTTAGGCCTAACTAAATGATCAAACAAATTCAAGTTTGGATTTGGCCCTAACTATAGGATTGTAAAGTCTAGCATTTAATTATAATTCGTTTGAATAACATTTAATATTAGCCTTTGATGTTATAGTGCAGAATAGCAATCTCAAATGGTGGAAATAAGTTCTCTGATAACTTGATGATAACGGAATAATGAATACTGCTGGTTAGCAAGATAAAATTTGGTCCTAGATAAAAAATTAAACAGCAAAAGCTCAAAAGTTGACGGCACTCATAAAAAAAGTGAAAACAGCCAGTATGCATAAATGGTTCAGGAACCGACCAAAGATGAATAAGGGCCAAAAAGGCTTTAATGATGTGGTGATATGATGATGTAAAACAGTAATGACTGTTTCCGAGAGTAAAACGCATAAGTTCATCAATAAATTACCTAAGCGATAAATTAAAAACTCAATTTCAACACAGCTTCATAGCTTGCTTTACTAACAGGCAACAAGATTAAAACCTACTCTTATCAAGGGTAGCTTATGCCTCATCGACTACATGATACGTGAACTTACTCTTATCTAGATCACAGTAAATTGGGAGGTAATATTTTCAGCTTAGTGGGGGCCATATGCTGAAATATTTATAAGAGATGGGCTATTATGCAATGGATGAAAATTTTGTTGCAAGAGGCCATTTGAGGAAAAAAAGGAATAAATCACGAAACGAAATATACAATCTTCACACCTATGACGCAACGTGTATGACATAGCCCATCTTTTAGTCAAAATCATCTATGATACTGGGATAAAGTAAGCAAACGCATTCAGATATTTCCTCCCCTCCTCACAACGATTATATACATTATATAATATATATGTCATTTTTATGGCAAAATCAAAAATAGGAGGGAGAGTAGTGTGAACCTACTTCCCTATGCTGATGCATATCCATCTGGTTGATCTTCTTTGAATCACTTGAGTCAAGACATGCTTTTTCTTTGTCTTTGGAGGATTCCGGTGCGTTAATAAGGGGACATGGCTCATCATCAGAAGGGCGTAAGAAGGGGTAATGAGCAGCGATCCCATCTGTTGCTTTATCTTGTAACAAGCGCAGTTGAGAATCAACTTTAATAAAAAGAATGAAAATTAAAAGTGCGTAAGAAGATACGTGCATTCGAAACTAGAGAAGCAAGCAATATTACCCTCGATGATAAATAAATAAATAATCTTCACGATGAATATTTAAAAATCGATCCAAGATCTAGGCTAGACAGTAGCTGATAAAACCTTACCTAGCCAGAGGAATTTGAGTTGGAATGCAACTAAAAACTGACCTCAAGCGGTAAAATACGACTAAATATAAGTTAAAAAACAGAGACATCTCTGTTCAAAGAAACTTAAGAAAAAGATATTGTAAAAAGTAAATTTGGCAATAATTTATACCACTGGTTAAGCAAGGGTAAGGAAACTCGGAATTCAGCAAGAACAGCAAAAGGTAGACACATGAATCAGGAAAAGTATAAATACAAAATTTTGAATGTACAGCGTCCATGGTCCGACTGGAAATTGTCATGTACACAAGGTGCGTTCCTCTTAGTCTTTCTACCAATATTACTCAACATACTTGCAAATGTGTGAAGTTACTTTCCGAACTGGAAGTGCGCTAGGTGACAGCTGTTTCCTTAGCCAAATATACTAGCCTGCGATCCGCTAATGCTGAGTAGTGTTTATGATTGTGCTATTGTCTTTTGTGTGTATGTAATGTTCATGTCATGGAAAGTGTGATAGTCATAGCTATACTTGAGGCTAATACAACCTCCTCTTGTTCAGTGGCTCTTCCTGCACTCCCTCTTCCTCTCCTTAAGCCTATCCAACATCCACAAATAGTTCCTACTCCGTTTGCTACACTCATCCCTCCTATTCAGGACGTCGGCTGTTTTATTAATTTTTATAGACTCCCTAATCTTACGCTTAGATGTAAATTCCCTGTAGCCCTCAAAACGATGTTTTGGACCAGTTTATTGAGTGTGTTAAGCGGGCTTCAATTTTTGGATCCATAGAACTTTACAAGCGGTTTTTGTCAGCATATTATCTTCTGGATAGGTCGGCAGGTCTCCCCACATATATCTCACCACATGAGCACAAAACTTTGTAGCCTCCTGATCTAGAAAGAGGATCAGACAACTCTTCAAACGAAGGGATTGCTGAAGAAAATTTTAATGTTTCTTTATAAATTGTTTTTATGTTCCACTTCCTCAGTAGATCACCCAACTTTTTCGAAATTTTACAGGAAGGAAAAATCAGAACGAGTAGAATGGTCCAATTGTCTATCCCACCCAAGATAGCAAACTGCCCTCATCCTGCTACTGACAATTGATATATAATTATCTACTAATCCTAGCGAATAATTACTTTGAAAGAGTGTATCCCTCAATCTACCAATCTCCTGGTCCCTGTGGTTAACCTCTGCTAGACGCAGAAACCTTATTACCATAGACTTGATAACTCCTAATTTGACTCTATATGTATGGTTGGGGAAGAAAGTAATGAGGAAACCCGCATGTGTGGGTTTCCTATATACGTCCCTATCTAACTTATTACCTTCATTGCTCACTAATACACCCAAAAAAGGCAATTTATTTTCCATTTCTAACTCCAAAGTAAATTTAATATTGACATCTATTCAATTTATTAGACTAAGAAATTCCATAAAACTATCTTTGCCGTGTTGCCAAACAGGAAAGTAATCATCCATATAACGAACTAATGATTTGGAAACTAGGAGTGCCTTTTGAACCACATGAGCCCCTAGTTAAGCCATGTATTGAATAGCTAAAATAAGGGCTAAACAAGATCCCATAAATAAGCCCATTGTTTGCTCACACATGGTCAAATTGACTGATCTGATGACCGAATCCTTGCCTAACTTTTTACCTGCCATAATTTCAGGGTGCTGATCTGAAGTTAACTCTAAAGCCTTCATTGTTTCGTTTATCGAAACGTTTGTGTACACAGATACTACATCGAAACTTATCAGCAAATCTCCTCTTTCTGTCTGATCATATAGCAACTTAATAAAGTTGTATGAGTTCTTTACTGAAAACATCCAAGTTTCGTGGATTTGCTTTAAATTAGAATATAAAAATCGTGAAGTTTTATGCAATACGCTACCTCTACTATTTACAATAATCCTAAGTTGAGTACCTACCTTATGAATTTTGAGCAGGCCATACGTATTTAAGGGTCTAGCATCTCGCGGGAGAAGTGCGTTCATTCTCCACTTTTCCAGTTCTCCACTGTTAACACATTGGTGCAGAAGACAGCTAAGCAAGGCCTTATCTCGGAGCCGTAATTATGGTTTTATATGCTGTGTCATCGTCTAACGCCTCTAACATTTTCACTATATAGACAGTCCAAGCCATAAGTACCACTGCTTATCATTTGTGTGCCCTTAATGCAAAGTGGTCATTCGCATTAAGCTTCCTTCTTTACCTGTCCTATTCTTATTTAATAATTCTAAATAACCAAAAATTAAAGGGACAACTTAGAAGTTAATGTCACTAGTAGTAGCCTAAGGGAAACTACCAGTTAAACATATCAATTCAACCAAATCTTCAGTCCTTAGAAAGGCAAAGTTTAAGCCCAGTGCTAGGACCTCCTCGGTAAAAAATGTTAAATGAAGCTTTGAACATATGTAAAACTTTTAGGCAACAATTTGCTTACTCCTCCATTCAATAGATATGTGTCGTTTCCTTGATCGAATTTGTATGCACAAAATTCTTAATTTCTTATCATGTGTCTTTCTAACCTGTCGAAAAACCTCGTCATATAACCTAGCCGCTATACTTTGAATTGCTAAAAGAATTAAAACCGTACGAATTTCGATGATATGAATAAAGACTGAGCTTGAAAGAATTCCTTAGTGATATTTTGTGCCATTACTTTCTGTTTCGAAGGAAAAGATGGTTGAAAGGAATTCATGAACCGGGAAAAGGATATCCTGAAAGCAGAGAGGATCTAAAGGGAATCATTAATAGGACTAATAAACTTAGCACTAAGGACTACCTAGTTCACATTAAACGACAGCATCTAAAAACAGAGATTTGAGCTTT